CTACTAAACTATATTGTCCACCTCTCCCCTCCTGGCCATGTGAAGTGTTTGTTGTTTTTTTTTTTCCTTTTTATTTTGGGAGGCTTTAACAACAGTTGATAAATGAGGAAAAAAATGTAACGCGAGACAGACCAACCGGACGGTCGCCTGGACACACACAGACCCCTCCCTCACCCTGGCTTTCAGTATGTCTGTCTATATTTTACTGCTGGACTATTACTCTTGTACAGACTGTAAAATGTATTATTTTGTACAACTTTATTGAGAAAAAAAACAGAACTTGTAGAAGATTCCTGTGCCTTGATCACGACTGTACGTGTTAAATGATGAGCTAAGATGTTAAGGTTTGTTTCACTGCGCTGTACAGCTGAGCCGCCCCCCCACCCCCGCGCCACACACTGCGTTGTTCACTCCCTGGGGGAGAGGGGAGCCCGTTGTCCATAGCTTAGGTTTTCCCCCCCTCCCCTGTTTGTTTGTTCATTATTTTCTTTTTTCCTTTCTTTTTTCCTTTCTTTATTCCCACCCCTCTTTATAATAGGATGAAGATGAATTTATTTATATATATACATAAAATAAACGTGTGTGTGTATATATATAAATTAAGTTTTTATTCCCCCCACCCCCCAGACCAGCCTACATTTTGGAGAAGGAAAAGTGGGTGCAATGTGAGGGGTTTATTTTTTATTTCCAACTTTTTTTTTTTTTTAAAGGAGCAGAAAAAAAAACCAAATGCAAAAACATTTATTACTAGTTTTTTCTTTTTATTATATAAGAAAAAAAGTGGTTGTATCAGTGTTTTGGGTCATTCCTTGTACTGCTCTGCAGAGTCCTGAGACTGGATGGGGGTGGGGTGTTTGCTGCAGATGATCCCAGCAGGCCTTTGTAAACCTAGCCCCCCCCGCCCCCCCGGACCTGTCTGGCCAACCTGGAGTACAAGCTCTTTGCCTGTATGTGCGTACAGTTTATTTTTAAATGTTCCAATGCTCCTCCTTGTCATACTTTAATAATGAGAGCAGAGAAACTCATTACCCGACCCCCCCCCCCCCCCCCAGACCCCAGGTTGTTAAAATGTCGCTGAGTCGTGGTACTGTGGGGTATGGGAAGTGGCTTTACAAGAGTTTGGATTTGCATTCATTTTAGTTTTCAATTTTTTTATTATGTTTTCAAGTTAAACTCGCTGCAGCAATAAGTGAGTGTAATTTTAGTACCAAAAACCATCTGGCTTTCTATATTTTTACATTGAGTGTTTTCGGTGTATGTTGCTCTTTCCATGTGTCTGCCTCCCCCCCCCCTCCCCTGGACATTTTGTACAAAGATTTCAATTACAGCTGTGAAGGCGGAGTCCGTACTGTGTGAGTGACACGTGCCGTGCGGTCGAGGACAGCTCACGCATAGGATACTGTTTCTAGCTCTTTCTGTACAGTGGGGGGGGGGCTGAATTACAGCAATGGGAGGACCGTGACTTAAGTGTGTTGTCCCGGTCACATTAAACACATTACACCAGCCCAGCTGGTGAGATCTGTGAATCCTCTGCGGAACCTGGTACCTGGTTTTCCTCCACCCTCACAGTACTGAGCGTAAGAGGTGCTGGGACGCTGATGGCCCACCCCAAAACAGGACATGCCTCTGGAGGTCCATAATCGCTGAGAGTGAGAGATCGGACCATTTACCTGACCCTCTCAAGGATTCAGGCTTTGTATAAAGGCAGAGGTTTACCCTGTACTTTAAAATGATTTAATAATCCAAAATGACAGTTCCGCTAGGGTCTGCTCTGGCATTACTGCGTTTCTCCACATATCTTAATTTGCCGTGCTTAAATATATCGCACACAAACAGCAACTGCGATTCACTGCTTTATACAGTGGTCTTCAAGCGAAATACTTCCCCCTGTTTCCAGACATAGGATGTTATAGCTATGCAAATTTACATATAAACACAGATTATGTGAGATGAATTGATTAGAATTGACAGAACTGAGAATCCAGCAGTCAGTTCTCTATGGAATGGATACTCTTCTAATAGGCCTACAAGTTTTTTTTTTTTTTTTGTAACGGATTTTGACGTAGCCATCTGCAATGTGGTAGCTTTAAAAGCTGTGTATTACTAGTCGATGCTTTATACAGTATATAGTCGCTGTGTGTATGTACATGTGCAGTAACATTATGCCAAACTGGCCAAGGAAACCGAAATAAGCTGTTAAATACTTTAAGTTATTGAAGAACGTCTTTGAAATTGGCCAACAAATTTTGTACTATTTTATATTTGTATACAAATTTTGTATACAGGGCTATTATACTGTAGATAGATACTTTGGGAGAGAGTGGAAAACTAAATTACAAAAATAGAGAGAGGAAGATGCGGCATAGGCCAACGTGGAGAAAACAGGAGTTGGAAGATTTTTTTAACGTATAGGGATGCATACATTTCTTAATTATAGTACATTTGCAACTGAAATGGCATTAAGTTTAAGAACTTGCTAAGTAGGCCTTGTGTAGAATTAAACAGCAGGTCGTGCTCTCTGTCCGAATCGCCTTCACTGACGCTTTAGCGCCGAAGTTTTTACCCAGTGATTCAGCTGAATATTTTTCTGTATTTAATTGGGAAAACACGTTTCTCACCATTATTACGGCGAGAAAAACCTGGGTTACGAACCAACACACTGCTGGTTACTAGTCTTTGTTTTTTAACCACTACGCCATGTATGAATTTTTTTTATCCATTCATCAGATTTCAATAAACGATTATAAATAAAGGTGGCGGTTTTCCAAAGGCCATGGCGGCAAGCAAACACGTAACAATCCGCAGGACGGACGCGCTCACACACACATTGAAAGTTATAGTAAACATCATGAATTCGCTATGATTAAAATTTTGGAAGCGACGGGTCGGACTCCAACTGAAGCTTAAAGTGTGCAATATTGATGCATATTTAAGGATTAATGTTACATTGTTCTGTGTACATAAAGTGCAGGATGACCTATAGTGCCTGGAGCAAATTATTTTGCTTAAAATATGTTGCTATTATCATCATCAATATAATACTGATATTTTTCAACATGTTTTCACCCCCTGTACTGATTGAATTGTTTCTTTTTTATTTTTCACTGCTTCGGGGTGCCCGCAGACATAAACATTTTGATCAGTGGGTCGTTTACAGACCCAACGTAATAATCGCTTCCTTTACGGGCTGAATTGCCCGGGACAGTGACGAATAATCTAACATCACACTGCTAATTTTTAAAATGTTAGTGGTAGTATTTCTATTCTGATCTAGCTCTTATAATAACTCGGCATTGCGGAGAGTGAAACGACACGGTAATGAACTTGTGATTAACGAATGAAAATGCACCCAACGTGGAGAGTAAAAAGTAACAAAACCGGATATAATGCTTTTATTGCCACTGTAGGCGGCAGGAATACCGAAATGAAGTGACTTTGGGGAGCACATCCCAAGCTGCGTGATTGCAGGCGAGCAAAAGCCGAAAGCGCCGCACCCGTTTGCACGCGCGGCCATGTCCGCTCGCGTTCCCTGCAGGGCGCTTTTCACAGTGCCATTTTAACTGTACTGCTTGGTAACTCGTACTGCTTTCAGTACGACACATGTCTGATTTTCAGCCTATTCCTTTACTGAAATATGGAGATACAAGCGGAACTGCCTTCAGATAAGGATCTGATCGCGATTCGCTAAACGTAATTCGCTGGCTAAGAAAACACTATCAAAAATACAAATCCCAGGCTCATCTCTGGTAGAATTAGATTCATTTGACGTTGCAGCCATTTGCTCCAAAATACCCCCTTTAAGTTGACAGAGTTACTGCAACTAAATGAAAATATGCAAATTCGTGAACCAACAATTGGCGCGTTAAAATGCGGTTACAAGTAGCAATAAATATAACCATAATGTACTATACAAAACGAAGACAAATGCGATACATTAATAAAATGTCCATGTGTAAGTTAGAGAAAAGGGTAATTTTAATGGTGCCCATTATTCTTTAGTTCTGTATTTTGTGTAGATGTCAATCAACATCTGGCATTGCAAGCCGAATGTGTAAAATGTATAAAATTCATTAAGTTTGTAAACTATACTAATTGCTGAATATCCTTCAGTGACTGAAATAGTGACAAAAGAGAAATTGTAATCTTAAAACCCTGGGCCTAGAAAAAGCGTTATACTACAGTCCACACCTCCACGAGCGCATGCGCACAGTCTTATCGTGACGCATTAAGAGTGCGCCGAGAGGTCAGTCCACCAATATTACACATTTATTTGACCTAGATTCTTGTGTTGTAATTTCATCATTTTATTTTTAATAATAACCGATTAATGTTTTTTTAGTCGCTGTGTCATGGAAGAGGAGTATTACGGCACGGCTGGAGACTGGGATGCTCCAGATGGCAACTCGGTAGCAAACCTAGATGTCTGTTTGTGGCTAGCTAACACCGAGCGATTCATAATAGAAATTGCTAGTCAACCAGCTGGTTATTTATTTTGACCCACTCCAGTATTAGACTGTCTTAAGCCTACGCATCATAGCTATGTAAAATAACGTAATTACCTAAATGTGCCCAGTACATGTATCTTCATGGAGATCATGAACATGGCGGGAATCATTAGAGAACCTTGCTGACCAGCTGCTTGGGGAGGTCAGGTGAAGGTGTTCGTGCTTTTCTGGCAGGAGGATGGCTATGCGGAAGGAGAGTCGGACGGGAAAATACAGGAGGAGTGTCTGCAGAAATTCTCCAGCAGAGATTACATAATGGAACCCGCCGTGTTCAACACACTAAAAACGTATGTGGCAACACAAGCAGTCAATTTAGCACACTGGGACGGACTGTGCCATAACAATAACAATAATGCAGTTATCAATAATGCATAAATTTGTGTTGATAATAGTAATTTATTATAGGCATTATCAGTAATATACGATGAGCTGAATTAATGATGTATCAGTTACATTTGTGAGTGTATTAAAGTTTTACAGAACCCATTCGCACACAGGTATTTTCAGGCGGGCGGATCCCCAGAACATGTGATTCAGCTTCTTTCTGAAAACTACTCTGCTGTGGCACAGACCGTTAACCTGCTTGCTGAATGGTTAATCCAGATGGGTATGGGCTTGGTTTGACTCTTGCTTCCATTTTTATAAATTGCACTTAGTTGAATTTTTGGCAGGTATATTTTAATATAGAATATGACTGGTGACGGAATGGTTTCGTGTAAGGTTTGGGTCATCACATAAATTTTAGGCCTGCCTTTTGGTCCCACTGAACTGTCACAGGGCAGTGACATTTGGGAGATGATCTTGAGTGTGTTTCATTCTGGATATTTTACTTGTGTGTGTGATTGATTAGGTATGGAGCCGGCACAGGTGCAGGAGCGGGTGGAAAATCACCTCAAGAGTCTTTTGATCAAACACTTTGACCCCCAAAAAGCTGACTCCATCTTCACAGTGGAAGGAGAGGTAAGATTCGGGGGGGTGGTCAGATGTCCATTACTATACAATGAATACAATCCAGAAAAACTAAAAAATGCCAAAAGACTTGTATTTTGTTTGGTTAATTATGGTTAAGGTTAGGGCTGGGCAGGGCTTAAGGTTGTCATTGTTGGGAATAGGGATTTCCCATAGAAACTAAGGAACGGTCCCCACAAAGATATGAATATAGGTCAATCAGTGTGGGGGCCAGTGGTGTGAGTGCCCTGTTTCCTTGCTCAGACCCCAGCCTGGCTTGAGCAGATGATTGCCCACACGACCTGGAGAGACCTCTTCTATAAGCTGGCGGAGGCCCACCCCGACTGCCTGATGCTCAACTTTACCGTCAAGGTACCGTGTTGATCTTCCCCATGCCATGACACGCACCCATAAGTACAGCAGTCAGGTTTATTTATCCGTGACTTAGGAAATACCTTCATGAAGCATCACAGCACATCAACACCATGATGTCTTGTAGAATTTATTATGTAATTTATGAAAATGTTAGCATGAATTCTGTATTTATTGTGTGCTGTGTTTAAATTACAATGCATAGTTTTTCCAAGAAAGTAAACAAATCATTTACTGCTTTGGTATTAAGTATTTTCAGCATGTTCTTGTTATCTTATTCTTTATATATTGATATATTTGTTTGCTTGGCTTATGGATTAATGCAAAGACATGTAGTTTTCACCTACTAGTGCAGCTGGTTATTCTGTGTTAGGTTCTGTTCTTTTCTAGGGTATAACAGCAGGAGTCTTCCTGTGATTTGAACCAGCAGTCTCTGAGTTATGATAGCCTGGCCTAACCCACAATGTGTCCTGCTGTCCTAAAGCACTGGTCTTTTTTTTTTTTACCAGATATAACAAAATGGATGCAAATTGTGTTTTGCCTCCCTGTCTTCTATCCCTGTGGTTTTTGGAGGATGTCCCCAGCCCAATCCTGTCCTTGACGCTCCTCCGCTCTTCTGCAGCTCATCTCGGATGCTGGCTACCAGGGCGAGATTACCAGCGTGTCCACAGCCTGTCAGCAGCTGGAGGTTTTCTCCCGCGTGCTGCGCACCTCCCTGGCCACCCTGCTGGATGGAGGGGAGGACAACCTGGAGAAGAACCTTCCAGAGTTTGCTGTGAGCTCCCTCGAGGCCCCTCTGCTGTCCCTGTTGAAGTCATCCTAATCGATGCCTGTTTGGTTTCGTATCGACCAGCATTATCAAATTTTCTTGCATTGTTTAACAGTTATTTCATTTATTTTGGGCACTTGCTGAAATTTTACCCCAAATTCGCTGTGATTCTGATCTAATTTTTACTGCTGCAGTTAAAATGCATTTTATGTGTTTCAATTGTTGAACCGATTCGGATGCAAAGTACATAGACCAAAAACCTTTTCTTCTTTATACATCTAGTTATTTTTTCTTGTGTAAACACCTCGTTCAAAGACACAGCTGCCCAGGGGCGTCCTGAGACTCACCTTGGAGTCCCAAGGCTGTGTCCCTAACATCTCCCCTGCGCCCCCTGCAGAAGATGGTGTGTCATGGCGAGCACACATACCTATTTGCCCAAGCCATGATGTCCATCCTGGCCCAGGAAGAGCAGGGCGGCTCAGCCATGCGGCGGATTGGCCAGGAGGTGCAGAAGTCCGCCCATCAGAGGTACCCTCCCCCCATGTTATAGGTGGTTCCCCTTCACGTGGGTTCGTAAGGCTGGCTCATGTGTTGCCCCCCCCCCCGCCATAACAGGGGCCATGATGCCAGCCAAATCACGCTGGCACTGGGCACAGCGGCAGTCTACCCCCGTGCGTGCCAGGCCTTGGGGGCCATGCTGTCCAAGGGCGCGCTCAACCCCGCTGACATCACCGTGCTCTTCAAGATGTTCAGCAGCATGGACCCGCCCCCCGTGGAGCTGGTGAGGCAGACTGCGGGGAGCCTGCCACCTAGTGGCGTGTGGTGACTAATGCAAATGAAAAAGGAAAACAAAGGCAGTACTGATGATCTTTATCTTTTTAGACTTTGTGTGTGTTTGGTCCCCACAGTGTAATAAATCACAGATTTCCTCACAGTGTGATTTAAAAAAAGAACTAATTTTCCTCGTGGGGACATTTTTTCAGTTCCCACAAAGATAAGTTTGTGAATGCAGTCAAAAAACTAAAAATGTCAAAAAGTCTTATATTTTGTTTGGTTACTTATGGTTAAGGTTAGGGCTGGGTAGGCTTTAAGGTTATCCTAGTTAGTAAGGATTAGGGTTAAGCCAATAGAAATTTATGGAGAATCCTCATTGGAATGAGGGACATGAGGTGTGTGTGCGTGTCCGTGTGTGTGCATGTGCGTGTGCCCTGACATGGACTGGCATCCCATAGTGCCCCCTGCCTTGCCCGGTTCCTGGGATGGCTTGCACACCCCTTTTGACCCTGTGCTGGACAAACGGTTAGAAGAGGGATTAATTTTTTACGCAAGCTAATTCTTCTGTTTTTGCCATATATAGTGTTTTCTGTGATATTCAATTTACCCCCTCTTTTGTTTTTCTGCATTTTTGTTCGTTTTATTCATGGCAAGTGTTGTGATAGACATAAAGACGACCACAAAATCAGCTTTGTTTTCAGATACGTATTTCAGTGTGAAGTGTGCATCTGTGTGTGTTTTTGTTGCAGATTCGAGTGCCTGCATTCCTGGACCTCTTCATGCATTCTCTGTTCAAGCCTGGGGCCAAAATAAACCAGGATCACAAACACAAGTACATCCACATCCTGGCCTATGCTGCCAGTGTGGTGGAGACCTGGAAGAAGGTGGGTGGGTGGGCATCACAAAGTTCTCACGTCAGAAAGGGGCAGATTCTGTATGGGAGATGAGTCAGTCTGCTGACGTTTCCAGCAGACGTGCGAGAGCCCTAGTGTTGATCATAATGGGGGGGAGGAAGCGGGATAATTTCCAAGGGCCCAGTTGTGTCTCTGTGTGACCCTGGAGTGCCCCCTGCCCTGCTGTTCATTCAGTGTTACTGTCGTCTGCATGCCGCAGAACAAGCGGGTAAACATCAACAAGGACGAGCTGAAGTCCACGTCCAAGGCCATCGAGACGGTGCACAACCTGTGCTGCAATGAGAACAAGGGGGCCACCGAGCTGGTGGCTGAGCTGGGGACCCTGTACCAGTGCATCCGGTGGGTAGCCGGGGCCCCGGTCATGGGGGACTGGGGTGTCAGTCTCCCTGGCTAAGCCATGATGCTCGTCCCCAGCTTCCCAGTGGTGGCCATGGGGGTCCTCAAATGGGTGGACTGGACGGTTTCGGAGCCTCGCTACTTCCAGCTGCAGACGGACCACACCCCCGTCCACCTGGCTCTGCTGGATGAGGTAAGGCTTCACCCACCCACGCCACCCCCCGACCCCGCTTTGCTTCCAGTAAACAGGAAGCGCCTTTTCTGTGTGTCTTCCTGTTGTCGTAGCGATGTACCCCTCCCTCTCCCGCTACTCCATACCTTTCCCTCCGCAGATAAGCACTTGTCACCAGCTCCTGCACCCTCAAGTTCTACAGCTGCTAGTCAAGCTGTTTGAGACTGAGCATTCACAGCTGGATGTCATGGAGCAGGTGAGAGAGAACAGAGAGCCTCCTAGGCAGGCAGGCAGGCACGCAGATGTGCAGGCATGCAGGCACGCAGACAGGCACAGGTTTGTAATTTAATCTTTGTGGGGACTCCCCATTCATTTCTAGGGGGAAAACTCTACAATATGGCGACCTTAACCCATACTCATAAGTAACCAAACTAAATACAAAGATTTTGGCATTTGTAGACATTTGATTGCTGTCACAGATTTTCATAAAATTGAGGATTATTTTTCATTGGGGGTAAATTTGGTCCCCACAATGTAATATATACATAACCACAGAAAAACACAGGCAGGCTGTCACCGTGGATCCACCTGTAAAGGCTGTTAGACCAGGGAAGTTGCTTTTTGTATCAAGGGATGCTGTCCCTGTTTGAAGCTGCTGCAGTAAGAAGATCCAACTATATAAGGCTGAAGATTTAAGTCCTTTTAGGATAATGTGATGAGTTATGATTCTCTGACAGACACACCATTAGCTGCAGGCCTAACCCATCGTGTACGAGTGTAGCATGTTCCGCTTTTGCTCCGCCTTGGTTGCCGTGACATGTGACCATGCTGACGTCCCTGCAGCTGGAGTTGAAGAAGACCCTCCTGGACCGCATGGTGCACCTGCTCAGCCGAGGTTACGTCCTGCCGGTGGTTGGCTACATCCGCAAGTGCTTGGAAAAGCTCAACACTGACATCTCGCTCATTCGCTACTTCGTTACGGAGGTGAGGCCTTGGAGCAGAATGGACACCTATGTAGCATCCATGTTATGGATTTTACAGAAAAATATCCTTTGAAGGGGGGGGGTTTTTGGCCATTTTTTAAAAAAGGAATCTCCTCCTTACTGCAACAAAGATCTAGACTCTCTGGAGGACCCTGGGTTGAGAGTCAGTGCAGTAATTAATAACGTGGTACCTGGAGGCCTGTGTCCTTCATCCCAATGCTGCTCCTCTTTCAGGTCCTAGATGTGATCGCGCCCCCCTACACCTCTGACTTTGTGCAGCTCTTCCTCCCCATCCTGGAGAACGACAGCATCGCTGGCACCATCCGCACCGAGGGCGAGCACGACCCCGTGGCCGAGTTCATTGGTGAGCCTCGCTGCGCTTACGCCAGATGCTGGAAGGAGTCGGAGTCGGGGGTGGAGCGAGGAGCCGGTCCTGAAGGACCTGTCAGGCTTCTCTTTGCAAATATAAATGTCTCTCCTGTCATTCATTTACTTTTTAAAACAAAAAACAAAAAAACGCTCTTATCCAAAGTGACGTACCCCCTTGTTTTTGAGAAAGCAGGGTCAGACAGTCCCTGGTGCAGTGGGTGGGGGGGGGGGGCGGTTAAGGGTGTAATGGCGAAATCACCATTTGAACTGATAACTATCTGATCATAGGCACAGCATCATAACCTGCTGAGCCACACCCCCCCCCGCCTTTTTTTTTATCATATTATCTGACAGCTGCCTCATGCGAGTTTCAGTTCGATTTCTTACAGTTATGTGTTGGATCAGTAAATGACACCAAACAAACTAAGCAGGACAGATGTACAGTAGACGTTAATGTTTTCAAGCCCTACAAAAGTGATTCATTCATTTTGCTGGCTTCTTTCTCCTGCCCTTTCCCAGCGTCTGCCTCTTTATATCCCACCTGGGCAGGAATCACACAACACTTCTTATCTTTCAGCTCACTGTAAATCCAACTTCATCATGATGAACTGAAGCCTCCAGACCAGGCTGCGATGGACCGGCTGGTCGTGCAGGGAGGGGGCGGTTCTGATCGGCACTGAAGGATGAGTGTTGTCCCAGTAGGTCAGCGCATCCCGTACTGGGATGGCTGGAACTGAGTGGAGGGCAAAAGACCAGGCTCCTGTTGATGTGGGGCGGATGCGAGTGTGTATATGGATGAAGAGATCGGCCATTTGGAAGTCGGGGCAGTCAGTGTCAGTGCAGCAAACTGGTCAGTATCACACAGCAGGACTGAGGACAACTCGCACATTCTAGCTGTAAGGTGCTTTTTTTTGTTTTTGGGAGATTTAAAACAAGTCATTTTTCCATTTTATCCATAATTACAATGTAAACATTGATTTTTTTTTTTTTACAAAAAGTATTACTTTATATAAATGTGAACATGTAAAAAATAAATGTTTAGATTTACCCCGCCCCCTCCACTTTCTGATCTTGCCTAAAATTAAACATGCATTAATTCAAAAATATGTATATATGGCACTGATATGGCAAACATGGTGTATACAAAGCATATGAAGTATACAACCTGATATTTCAAGCGTTGTGCACCCGCATGTTACAAAAACATCAATGGTTACGCTGAATTATATTTTCCCATTAAGTACCAGAAATATGAGGCAAACTGTGCGTTATGGATGCTGAAGTCACCATAATCTTCAGAACAAATGAAAGACGTTTATTGCAGTACTGAGGGCTGCTGGTGTCACTAGCAATTTTCCCTGCTATGCCGTGGAGCGATTTCAGGGAAAAATCACCTGCACCTGTTCTTCTATCAACTTCCTCGGTGATTGCAGCTCAACTGCTGCCTTAAGGCTGATTTCGAAATCATTCACAGCAGCACGTTTAAAAACATGTAATCATTTAAGTGGGTCATTTTCCAACACCCTGAGCGATTTGAAATCAATTAAAAGTGATGCCACTCATTGAGACACAACAGTGGAAATGCACGTACTCCCCCCTTACGTAAATTCTCCCATCTCCTGAGGGATGATTCCCAGAAACACAAGTGGTTTAAAAACGCTGTCCGTTCAGTCATGGGCCACCACTCGCTCTTCCTTGAGTGGAAAGCAGGGCTGGCCTCCAGCCTTACTGGTAATTTTTGGGCAGGATGGGGTCCCCGAACATGCAGTCCTCCTCAAGCGCCAGGTTGTAGTGGCTGCCACTGCCACCCTTGTAGCTGCTAGTGACAATGCGGAGCCACCCCTTCTCCCCCTGGTGGTGGAGATGTGAAACGCAGTGTTCGTCACACATAAAAATTAATGCCGCACGATTTGTAGCGTATGCTCAAATTTTAGCTATTCTAGTGTGAACTGTATCTGATTGCCTGTCTTTTGGCGTCAAGGCAGCTGAGGCGAGACTCTTACCCAAGGCTCCCCCCAGGAGTTGCGGACAATCCAGTACTCCACGCCAGTCTCATCCACGCCCCAGCCGGCCACCGACACAATGTGATTGATGAAGGGGTATTCCTGGTACTCTGAGTACACCCCCCCCGTGTAGGCGTCCAGCGTCTCCGTGGCCATGATCCCACAGCTGGGGGGTCACCATTCACAGTGTGAGAAACTCATCACAGAACTCCTGGCTCGGCCAATCCCACAAGCAGGCTGGTGCCTCACCTGATGGGCCCTCTGGCGTTTATCTCGGCCATCATCTTCTCCCGCCCGCTCACGGCCCCGTAGTCGCCCACCTTCCACACCGTGTAGTTCTTTACAATGTTGCAGACGTTAAACGTGGTGCAGGTCCCACACTGGTTAAATGGCTTACACTCTGAAACATGGAAAAACATCTTCTGTCAAATTTGTCACATGCACACTGTGCATGTCTTACGCAAAGAATATGTTAAAGGATATTTATCTGGGTAGTAAGTGCTTATTTGCTCAGAAGAAAAAATCCATATGTTATGTTATTTAAGAGTAACACAATCAATACCGATAAGGATTTTTTCTGTTCTCCAAAGTGTTAATGATATCTTCTTGGATGGCTAGAACGACATCTCTTTGGTTCCCAAACCTCTCCTCAGGGGCCCCTCAGCCGTTACATGCATTCGTTAAACTTCACCACCAGCTCAATTAATTATTTTAAAAGGTCAGTGAGGTTTAGATTAGTTATACAAGGTGTGCTAGTAGTCAAGTCAAGAAATACATCAGGCTATTGGATGGTTGCTGCTAACACTGAGCTGACCACACAGGAAGTGCTGAAATGGTTAAGCCGATACACTGTCAGACATATAGTTTTACACCAACATGGATATCATTTAAACTAGGGCTGTCACTATCGATTATATTAATAATCGAGTAATCTAACGATTAATCTGACAATTCATCGAGCAATCGCTTATATATAATAATGTAATATTATACATTGCAATTCAATTTCTCCACATATATTAAAGCCTGATTTTATTTCTCACCACAACCCTGTACAGAAATATTTTTAATATAGAAATTTTATTTTACAAATCGTCCAAGACCTGACCTCTAATCCACTGGAATGCTGTCGTGTGATCAGGCATGTCAAGGAAAACATCACAAAAACATACAAGAATCCTAACAGTTTTGCACAGAATTTTGCATGTACCTGCTGCGAGGTCTGTTGAGCGGCTATCGAAATGCTTTAGTTATTGCAGATAAAGGAGATTCCCACATTATTTACCAAACATACTTGTTCACATACTTTTTCCCATCTATGGTCTTGATATTATTGAACAAATGGTTTAAACTAATATGCCAAAGTACAACATTGTGTATATTTTCAGTTCTTATTTATTATGACTGATCCATGGGTTAACCAGCTATCTTTGGGTTTAAGTCGGGTTTAAGTTATTGGTATGACTCAAGCGGGGCACGTGACATCAGTGGGAGCACAGGATGTGCTTCCAAACACTGGCAGTATCAGGAAGCAGCAGGTGCCTGAAGTGGAGCCACACCCCTCTGATGTTGTGGACCTGATTAGCACAGATCCCCTAATGGCAGAGCTGTCAGAGACTCCATTAAGGAGGAGTTTTTCAGTTGGGGGGGGGGGCAAAGTTTTATTTCGAAATAAAATATTTTATTTCGGTCCATATTTCCTGACACAGGAAAACATCATTAATTGTTTTTAAATTTGTAGGTTGCCAAGCAGTTAATGCTACACATGCTTTGTGCAGCTTCTCACGTTCCATCTGAAGCTCTCAAGCTCTAAATTCCTTTTGTAAAAAGCCCTCAGCATGCGCTCCCACACTAAAACATGGGCACACTTCTCCATGTTCCTTTTCAGGGATCCATTCAAACCCCTCAAAACGATTCACAATAATTTACTTTTCCACTATGAATACGGTCACTCTCCTTGTTGCTCCTTTTATTTGTTCAGTGTATCGGTGCATGCTCCTCATGTGCCAAACAACACCTGAGCTGACAGGGAGAAAGTGAGAAAAAGAGAAAGAGCGAGAGAGAGAGAAAGAGAGACACTAACCACCATCATAACACTGATTAACTGGTCTGGGAGCGTTTGCTGTTCTCCAGCCAGCTAGTTTGAACACTCCCGAGATTATCATACTTCTTTCATGATAAAAGCCCCAGATCACATGACAGCCATGTATACAGAAATACAGATAATTCCTGGGGGCTCACAAAATCCCCACCTAAAAACTGTATATCCAGCTCTGGAGGGCGTCGCTCGGAGGCCACACCCCCCCCGGCTGGGAGGGCTCACTAAGGCATGACACCTCCCATTACAGTCATAAGCCAAAGACAACAAACTAATGTCGATTTTACCCCTGCACACACCATCCGAGAGCTACCGCTTTGGTCCTTCACAGCAGAAAGGTTAAACTGAAATACTGGAAAAGAAGCTAGACACTGTATGCAAAGTGAAACTGTATGCAGTGTCTGCTTGCAGTGACGGCCCGGCCCTTACCCTGGTCCTTCGCCTGGTAGTTGTTGCAGGTTTCGTCGGGGATGCCGTTGGTGTGGGCATACTCCCACACCCCCGAGTGGTCACCCCCATGGCAGGAGCCCGCATTGCCGCAGTCGACGACGTTCTGGACGGAGAGGTAGGCAGACGGCCAGGCAGCTTTCCTCTTGATGTTTATCCTGTCTGATGGGACAATGAGACTGCATGAAATGCTCAGTCTGTAGGGGGGGGGGGGGGGGATTCACTCCTGATATAGTCACATATTATAAGGTGTTATATTTTAGACCATGGGTTCTTAAAACTATAGTCAATAGTTTGTTTTGTGGCATATTTTGAGACACTTTTAATTAAGTTTTTCGATCCATCTCAGACCTGCAGTTAAATATGAAGTGCTTAACTGAATCTCTGTCAAGTCAATCAAATTTTATTGACCTCTGTAACTTTATCATAGCATTGCTGCATAAGTTCTGGTTAATTGGTTTGATTTTTAACATGAACTGACCTTTGAATCTTGAATTCTTACTGTCCTAAAAACATTCTGAATACTGAAAGCAGCCAGGTGAAGGTCATAAACTGAGATATGACCCGCAAAGTATGTTTGTTACTTCAGGTAACCTGGATTAAAAGTCTTGGTGTCAGATGACGGGGGTGGATTTTAGACACGAGCGCCGCGCTTAACCGGGGATTTTTCTACATTCGCAATACAAAACGAGTCTAAAGGTGTGTGACATCCTGTGCAAACATCCGTCCCAGGACAGTTTCCAGCTGCCTAACCGCTACTTATTGATCTATCACACCGTGGAAAGAAGCTCCATAATAGGGGCAAAAACGCGCTGCCCCATAACTTCCTTTATTATCGCCTTTCCGTAATTTTTTTTTACTTCCACATTCACACTGTTAAAAGGAAACAAATACATTCAATTAATAAATGGTTATGGGGAGTGGTGGTTCATCGGGATAAAGCAGACAGTACCGGCCATCGCGCTGGTGCTGCCGTGCGCCCAGCATGATCCGCAGTACTGAGGGATGTGCTGATTGCGGGTGGTGCTCACAAAGTTGGTGCCGTTGACGTTCCTCCAATCCCAAACCTTGGGCAGCAGGGCAACGTCCAGGAATTCGTGAGGGCGAGGGCTCGACCTAAATGTCAGTCAACGAAAATGCCACCGATCACCAGTTAAGTCTTACCGCCGGGAAGGGGAGCCGGCAGGGGATGAAATGCCGTCCTGCGGGTCTGGCGCAATAAGCGATCACGTGTTCCCGTTTTACTTAGTTTACAAGTGCACGGCAAATAAATGCGAAACATCGCAAATGCCCAATCTGAGTTCCCCGTCCGTATGTGAATGAGGTCATTCATCCTCACAATTTTCCCGAGAAATGGAAAAAGAAAATCAAAACCACTTCCCAGACAGCGCAGGATAACATCTGAAATCGAAAGTACACGAACCGCTACCACCACGTTCCCCTTCCGTATATTTAAGTGTATTTTTATACAAACTCCCATCGTTGATTACCGTTAGTATACAACACACTACATCCATTCGAACCCGGGTCTCTGTAAACACAGTTAAAATGCATACATTAAGCCGGTCTGTACACAATCACTGCCTGACCACTAGTACAGCTGGGCGATGTCATTGAGCCTAACCAATGTAATCACCAGATCGTTTACTAGGATAAATAAGTCTATACAAGCATTTAGCGATGCAATAACAAACAGAGAAGCTGTGCATTTACTTTAAAGTCTCTTAGAAATCATTTGAGATAAAATATTTAGTGTAGCAGGAGAAAAGGGTAAGTTTAAACCATACTTGACTCCGAAGTGATTCTTCCTCGGCATGGGTCGATAGCACGGCTCTTTATCGTTAAAATATCGGCCGCCAAGGGCGCCGGAGCCCAAGCACAGAAATAAGATCAATCCCCTGAGCATTTTTAGCAGGCTGACGATCATATGACCACCGTCGCGCTCCGGCGCAGTTTAAATACACTACGGAAAACCCGGTGACCGCGGAGCGCGACATGGGCGGAGCTTCAGATTTGGGCGGGACTGTGAGCATGGTGGCGGCTTTACACAGGGGCATGGCCCGGCGAAGGGGTGGGGCTTTCCAGAGAAGCGCCGAGATAAGAGGAAGGAAAAAAAGACTAACCAAGACGTCAAAAGTGGTCTCTTATGATATAGTCATATGACGGGCACTTGACACAAGTCACGCAATTTGTTGCAATGTAAGCCACTTCAAAGCCAAAAAAACTAGTGAAGGTGATACTGTGTAAATACCATCAATCAAACTCATTAACGGAATACCAACGACATGCAAGAATGATTTAATATCTTTTATTTTCAGATGCAAATTCAACAACTCTTTACCTTTCACAAAGATACACGCCTCTGCTATAATCTGGTTTACAGACTAAAATCAGCTTCAGACAAATGATCAAACTCCACCTAACCGGCTCTTTCTGACATCACCCCTCAGCATTTAGAAGAATTCATCCCTAACCACTAAGGTCTGGACATCAAGTTCTTTTCTGCAATCACAAAAGCTTATTGTAGATTATAATGGAAAATGAAGATTGAAACACGGATTAAACAGTTTTCCCCACCTGCCTTTTAACCAAACAGGGCCACCGTATGTCCCTACCATCAAACCCTACAAGACATTTTCCCCAGACAACAGAGTTGGTATTTCTTAAATTAGTTAAAACACTGTAAAAATCTAGGTAATGTATGGTTAGTGCAGAGGGGTGAAGATCAGTTCTTTAAAGAACTGATGGAAATGACTCGCAAAGACCATTAGGCATTCTGTGGTGTTGGCTGGACACGACGGCAGGAAGTGGACGGGCTAGGAGGGACCCCAGCCGGAGTCACACCAGCCTCCGCCTTTTGCAGTCACGCTCCATCTGATCTCCCAGCGGAGAGCTGGCCGAGCCCAGTGGGGACACCATGTTGAGTACGGGGTCCTCAGAGGCCTGGCCAAACAGGGCCAGCAGCAGGGCTACACCAAATCCTGTGGCACGCTCCCCCTGTAGGTGAAGAGCTGTTACAACAGGATCCATTTCTGACCCACAGCGCAAGGTGCACACAAAACCCGATTTAATGGGCATTCGGTGGCAAACGGAGGGGACTAAAACACAGACATCTAGGTTTAAAGATCTTGAGTGGAGATGCACCAATTGTATTGACCAACTATCAGTATTGGCCAATTGTTGATGTATGGGACTTGCTGGCCCACTGAATAGTAAATTCCTGCTTTACAAACTAAGGAGATGAGGGGGGGTGGAATACAGGTAGGCGTGTTTAGCTACGATTCCTATGGCTATGGGCATGACGAAACATCTCACACCCAGCTGTGGTAGCCGACTGGGTCTATTTTTTGGGGTGGGTTGGGGGGGGGGGTTACTCACAACGTGAACTGGGGAGGCGATGTCCACATGCACCCAGACACCCGGCCATTCGAAGCCCAGGTGCGAGCCGATGAAGAGCCCTGCGCAGGAGCTCTGGGCATTCTCACGGTCCTGCCAGAGAGACAGACAGACAGAGACAGACAGACAGACAGAGACAGACAGACAGAGACAGACAGACAGCCTGTTGACAGAGTGCCCCCTACAGGTGCCCTCAGCAGCCTCCCAGCACTGTCCAGATCAGGTTTACTTTCATTTCTGTTGAATAAGTAGAAGCGCCCTGACAGCTTCCACCTGTCACCGTCAAGATGACCCGAAATCCATTCACATCACTACTCCTGGTAATGCAGATGAATCTGACTAAACACCTGAGTCCCTGCACTCATGCTAACTCATGCCCTTTATCCCAGGCCCAAGAAATCAGGAACTAGGAAATGCAAACTCACTTCCTTATTAATGTATCATTTACAAATTTGCACCTGCAATGTCAGCAGACAGAACAGTTGCCTGGGCAACAAACCCCTGTTCTTCAACAACTTTGAGTGTTAAGTCTCTACTGAAACCTTCACCACTACAGATGAACAGAAGCTGTTTGATCCTTCATAACTGTTTTTGAAGTTTCAAGGCTTTTAAATATTTTCATAGAACTAGAAAATCAGAAGAAGTACGGCATTTAAGTGTTAATTAACCATGTCAAGCACCATTACACAGCAATACATACAGAGGAAAATAAATTTCAAGATCAAGGTTGAAAAAGGTTTTTATGTTCGGTTTCTGGAAACGGCCAAATCAGTGTGAGAATGTTGACAGAAACTGGTTATGTGGGTATTCTGCTCGAGAGTGGGCGCAGAAGGCAGCTAAGCAGAATTAGCTACGGCAGGGAGGAAGCCTCCGATTCGAGGCACGGGGGAGGTGAGCTACTCACAGCTACTGAGTTCTTCATGTCTGCCACGGCAGACGTGAACTCGCTGAAGTGCAGCTCAGGGCAATAGACCAAGGGGTGGGCAAGGTCGCCGCTGCTGCGCCCTGCCCGCACACAGGCAGCCTCCCACTCCTCGCTGTTGGTCATGATCGCCGCGTGGTATTTCCCCGTGGAGATCCCCTGCAAAGCAGCACCTGACCTCAACAGCAGCAACAACGAGACCAGCACCACTACGGGCCACTGAGAAGGTCTCCCTTGAGAAAACGGCCTTTACAGAAGCGAAGCGCCGGATTAGGGCCGAACTCCACATCTACCAAGAGGCCGAGCAGGAAGCATTCAGCACGGTTTCAGCTGACCAACAAAAAGCGCAAAGCACAGTGAGACGAGTCATATTATATTATATAAAAATATTTGTGTTGTGCGACAGTCCAGAAAAGGTGATCCCACTATGACCCAAAAAAAATGACACCAGCTGTGGTATATTTCCAAAAGTGAGAAGCAAGGTCACGCAATGAGTGTATGAGGCTGGGTGACACGGACCTGTGCTCCAGTCAAGGTAGCCATGTCCAGGATGATATCTGCAGAAAGGTCCTTTCTTGCATACACCACTCCGTCGGACAGCACCAGCCGGCCCTCCGCATCGGTGTTGTTTATTTCTACGGTCCTAGAGAGAAGGGCAAAGCGACTTAACAGCCTGGACACATGCTCCAGTGAACGTCCAGACCTCTCCTGTTCACGATGAAACCATCCACTGTCTGGAAGAGGAGGATAAGCCTTTCCATGCCGGACTAATTACATAACCGAATGAGTCTCTCATGGGGTTGTTGTTTTTTTTTTTTTTACTATTCAACCAGGTCCTCAGAAAACAAAGCCACCACTTTGAAGAGGACTGTAGTTGGATTTGCCAATCAGGGGTGGTTCCAGGGTGAAAGGGTCCTCGTGCCAGAAACAATCACACAAGCTCTGTAAGGCAGCCACTGGCGCCACCCACACTGCAAATTACGTCTGTATCCATGGCGACGGAATCATCAGCGTCGTTAACCAATAAAAACGAGCTCAGTTACTAAATGAGGGGCACAGCATCCAAAAAATGAAATGCCGAGATTTGTTTGCAGTGAGAAACCAGAATGAGAAACTATGGATGACCCCATTCCCGTCGCTTTCGCCGCTAGTAAGCCGACTAAGAACCCCGTTTATACCGCAAGCACATGTGCGACACCGGTGTCAAACCACGCGCTCACTTTCCGGAGTACAACGTGTGGATGTCATCAGGCCTTGTGGCAGCAGGACCGACGGCATTTTCCGCCAGGCAGAAGATGGCATGGAGAGCGTCTTTAAAGCCCTGTTGGGACACACACACACACTCAAAGTTACACACAGACGGCACGACTACACGACCTCAGGTCTGTCTCAGAACAGCCAGTGCGCATCCAGGAGGCCAAGGGTTACGTCCAATGAGAGAGCTCTTGGGGGCGGAGCCTCCACTTAGATGCGCAGCTCACCTGCTTGACGGCGGCTTTAAAGGCCCCAAGGACGGCGGCTGCCCCCCCACAATCCCTCTTCATTCCCGGCATGGTGGTCTGTAGAGAAAGCACACAGCTGTTTTGTGCTCCTCCCTGTGCGCGAGTAGGGACATCAGCGACATGTCCTGAAATAATGCACTTGATTACCATGTAGTAGTCAAAATTTAGTATGCAAAGTGAGCAGTATATCCAAATCCTCAGTATGGATGAGACAGCAGGCAAACAGCACCCAGATGACATAATACATTCTGCGAAATTCTGAAGTGTACAATCGACAGCCGCTACCCTACGCCAAAAGGTGTGTCAAACTGAAGAAGAAAACGTCCATGTGACTTGGATATGTATGTTTTTTCGTTGATAGTTTTTAGACTTGGGCGAGTGTCGAGATATGACATTAGTAAACATCCGGGGTGCGTGTCCCGAAAGCATATTTGCCAATTACATTAGCAATCTGCATAGTTGAAACCATGCAACTTAATGGGTCCAACTATGCAAGTTGCGAACAGGAGTGTTTGGGTAATGTACCCCAAGTTAGGTAATATACAAGATAGTAACCAGTGTATGTCGAAGTGCATGCATGCTGTGCATACATACAGTATGCACTACATTAACCGTGGATTAGCAGGCTCATATTGAAATTCAGGACGTACTGTGTACGTTATTTTGGATGACCCTCAGTGGTGCACTGAAGCTGCTATAATCGTTTACCACCTGTTGCTAAGACATTTTGCAGTGTTCCTCTTTTTTCTTATTTTAGATAAGTGCAGTATGTCACACAAGACGGCGGTCTGCATCACCGCCCCTCTCCCCGGCCGCACAAACCTTTCCCTTGATACTGAGGCCACCTGTGTCGTACACGATACCCTTGCCAACCCACGCGATGGTCTGAGTGGCGCCCTCTGGAGTATGGCTGAGCACCGCCAGAGCCGGAGGGTGTTCGGCTGCCTTCCCCACACCATAGATCCCTGAGAGACGGCAAACACCTTGATAAACGAATCTCCCCCACTTCAGAAGGCACCGTAATCTCACGTCAGCCATGACATCAAGTATAATAGGAAGGGATCAAAACATCGTCAAGAGAAATATTTCAAAATTTAAGCAAAGTTCTAGGCTACAAGGTATCATGTTCAGTCACAGCCCTCAGATACTCAAACAGCCAGCGTG